ATTGTATTTGTAATAACTGTGGAGAACATATACTTGTGTCTCTCTCTTTTAAAATAATACTATTTCTATATAGATCTACACCTACATACGCATTTTTTTTGCATCTCTGTTATATTTTAAAGAAATATAATTTGTTTCTCATATGGTTTTTCCAAGTTGGGCCAGCTGTATTTTTTTTTTTTTTAGTTTCATCCCTTTCAACAGTTCTCTCTCCTTCCCTCTCCAAGGCAGATCAAGCTTGTTAACATTTGAAAAATTGCTGGAATATACTGGGAAACGTAGAGGTGTTCAGTAAACGTGATTGCTCAGAGTTGTTGCAGAACAGGTTGACAAAATAAATCCCTCAATTTAGATAACATGCATTCCAGTCATATTTGCCATCCAAAAATCTAGTTTTAATGAGAACTATCATATTTGGAACTGAACATATTATTTTGCCAAGCTTTTCTAAGATACCGCTGTTTCCCGATAGCTGCTGATAGAAGACAGAGCCTCTTTTTACCTCAGAAAGGCTATTTAATTTCTTCTCCCCAATGACAAGGTTTCTGTTAGTTTGTCCTTCATGTTCCTAGCTAAATTTAAAAAAACTCCTTCACCAAACTAATACAATCGTAGACAATAATAATAAAACAGAACCATTCACCATCAATATGCCGTTGACAGTCTCTTGTTAAGACTCAGTTGGCTGAACCCAGTGATCCTCTGTTGATGTATTCTGCCCACGAGCAATTCCTGAGTAAAGACTATGGGACAAGAAATCGAGACCTATGTGCTACAGTGAATTTTTTTGGGTGTGTGCCTGTACCTGTATTAGAGGCCCACTGAAGTCAGCATGACTCTGAGCCCAGCTGGAAGCCTGCCTGCACAGAGCTCATAGCAGGGCTGTGGCACTGAGGAGATACACAGTGAAAGCTGCAGTAAGGACCAGGCACCTTCATGGACACCTTGCTTAGGTGACTGTTTACGTGTATCTTGGAATTTCCTAAGACAACTTTGTTTCACCTTCCTTAAAGCTACCTGTACTCCACAAATGAGTTTTGCTTGTGCTTTGAATAGTCACTTAAGACAGGTTTCACTGTGTAAATTTGTGTGCGTTTACATAAGTAGTCTTCAGGTCTCACATACGCAGGTATCTTCTGTGCAGAGAGGCAATGCTTACAAAAATGACATTCCTTATGATAACAAATATAGAGAGCAGATGACAATGTCTTTGTCCCTCACTTTTTAATAGTAGTATAACTGTGTAAGCTGAGAGCCACATCACGTACCAAATGAAGCTTGTCATCTGTGCTGTTTGAAATACAGTTATCATTCTTTCTCCTTTAATCACTTAGAATAACATTATTTTTAACTCTCAAGAAGGAAATGCTTGAAAGTCTATGTTTGGTTTGTATCTATTTTTCCCCAGATTCTTTGGCAGCTGATGGCTTGGCTTCATCATTTATAGCACTAAAACTTCATTCTAATATTTTGTTGTTTTTTGTCTTTAAAATATGGTGTGCAGAAGGACAGCCTTCATCCGCTATAATTTAAAAAAAAAAAAAGATACTGTGTCTTTAATGAAAGAAAAGCATCAATATAATGTATTACCGAATGCAAATGCAATAAGGAATAACATATATCTCTGGTTATGTTATATGACATTTGGCTTAGCGGTATTAACATATTGCACAAAACCTGGATTTTCCCTACTGCAGAAAATAAGATTATAAAAGACATGGGAAATTTCTCTCTTCCATGTGATCATAAAATAAATATTATTCTATTTTTTTTCTCATTAGTCATTTGCAGAAATATTTTAGTATTACTTCTTTGTTAAGCCAGCTCTTTATCATGTATGTATTAGGCATACAGTACAAGGAGAAATGGAACAAGATGGCAGCTATAACAGTGGCAAGATGCAAATTTATTCTGGCAAAAAGTAATATGTGCACAATATCAAGCATGCTGAAGTTTGTGCCAGGAAAACTATTATGAATGAGGAATGGATGGAATAGAATTTTGCATCATACATGATTACGTGTTGCTTAACTTCATAGAAGAGTCTTTGTCTACTCCTGATGTCCCAGGTGCCACCAAGAGAAGCTGCATACCACACTGATGGAGTGAAAATGGCAACAGATACCCCAGCGGTAATCACCTCTGCAACATGACTCTTTGTTTCAAAAAATAAAGAAATAGACCTCAAAGAAATGACAGAGAAAATTCACAGACCATTGAAGTGCAGGCACTGGCTCCATGTAGGGAGAGGGGGAGGAATTTATTACATCTTGTACTCGTGTAATAACTGAAAGTCTGTAATTCTTTTCTGTTTCATTTAGCCCAAGTTTAATTTGGCTACTTTATGCATGTAATGGTGTTGTCACTGTTTTTCCTCGTATCTCTCTCATATTTATGACATGTGACTGAGTGTAGCCAAGCAGTGGAGGAGTCATCTTTTTCACTGACACCACTTGAAAACACTTATATAGAAAAATAAGGGATGAGGATGAAGAATAGCAGGAGAGAAGAAAGAAAATGCCTTAAAGATAGCTCTCTACATTAATTCACCATGAGGCAAAACAGAAATAACAACTCTTCTTCATGTGCCAATTCAATTGGGACGAACCAGACTTGCTACTGTATTGGTACAGTGTACAAATAGATGACATTGAGTAATGGTGTGAACAAAAAACTATGAGGAACGTCACAGAAATGGATGTTGGATGGCCTTTGCACAGCAGAGGTAGTTAAAGGTTATAACAAACTGTTTACTGACCATGTACACTTACTAGAATTAAGAGGTCAGTTGAACAAGAGCTCACCTAGTAAGAGCTTTCTCAGTAGTGTGACTCATCAGCTGTTGTACAGTACCAGAGCACTGCCCAGTTATTGCTCCACCACTTTTCAGTAACATCTCTGTCCTTTCAAAAGTCTACATTCTACCATTAGTTAAGGCTTTTTCATTTACATTTCTACATTTTCCCCACTTTTTGCATCAATTCAATATAATTAATACATGTGCCTCTAACAGAAAATAAAATAACTAAAAAGCACCATGTTTTATTGAACAAAATATAGCATGTGCGAGGAAGGGAAGGGAGGAATTATAGAAATAAACCAGTGCTGAAGAATTTTGCATTAGCTGGTGCTTTTTGTTGTTGTTGTATTTGCACAGATCATTTTAGGCTCCTCAGTCCAGGTTGTAGTAAAACACTATCAAAACAAATACTCTTGCAAAATATTTGCACTTTCGCAGCTTAAGATATGCATCTTGAACCGCTTAAGCAGTACGGTTATCTTCTTTTTGTTTTTCTCCAGAATTTAACAGCCCGTAAATTGTATACAAAAACGCGTTATGCACCAGTGATTAAATGTTCTTACAACAGTAATATTTATCAAGGGGTATTTCATAGCTAGAAAGTAGGTAACTATATTTTATTTCCTAAGAGAACATTTCCTATAATTTTCCTTCATCTCCCACCTACACAGCAAACATCTCTAAAGTGCACTTCCCAAGTGTAGTTAGAGAATAGGAAGGAATGTAGTTTTTAAAAACAGCCCTTATTAACTTTTCCTTCCATTGATTCTACTGTAAACTCTAAAAAGCCTTTTTAAAAAGCAAATTCTCATACACTCAGCAGGTGAAATGTTCCCACAAAAATAAAAGTAAACAAATTAAAACCCACTCCAAACAATGAAAAATCAGCAATCGGATTACAATCTTTTCTCTTGACTACTCATATCTTAGTATAACTATACTGTTTTTATTGCGCATTTATGAAAACTGTTTTCCTATATATTTAAAACAAAATAGTTTCTTTATCTGTGCTAACACACTCTTGTGCACCCTTAATAACTAGAGTAACTTTCAACAACACGCAGATATTAGAAAAACAATGGAATCATAACCGAAGAGATACTTTGTATTATAGATTCTCAAAGGCTTCCAGTGTAATTTTGTTGAGACAGAAAGACTTGGATTTTGGAAGCTCTTTGCTCCCATTCCTAATGGAAAGCTGCTGGTTGTGAGACAGCAGGAGAACTCAAAACGTAATTCACAATGAATGCCAATCCTTCAGCTCCAATATGAAGGCTTCCCAACCACTCAACTTGCTGAGCATAACTGGTTTTACATAGCATATCTGAAAAAGGCTGCTCCTGTTCAACTGACCAGTGAGAAAGGACTGGACTTCTTCAAAACGGGTATTGGAGCAACAGTTTGTTATATATTTCTTTACATTTTTTAACTGTCCGATCCCACCTTGTAAGGAGAGCACTTGTTTGTTCAGCTAAAAGGAACCCCTTCATGCTCCTTCTGGATTTGCTCAGTCAACTGGTTTGTGCAACAGTGGCAGAGGCACACTGGAATTGTGTACCCATTCATTGTGATTACACAGACAAAAGCAAATGTATGTTGTCTGCAACAGGAGATGGGAGGGGAAAGGAGATGAATGGTTCCCATGGGTAAGAGGACAGTTAGGTTTGTTTGGGGTTTTTTTGTGGTTGTTTTTTTTTTATTTTATTTTTCTTTTTTTTGTTAAATTTTGTTTTGTTGTTATTTTTGTGTTTTTTGTTCTTTTTTTTGTTTGTTTTTGTGGTTTTTTTTTTTTTTCAAAATTTTGTTCATCTGAACTATGTTATGGAATCATAGTGGTCATTCCTCTAATAGAAACTGACAGGACATAAAAGACAGAACTATCAGATGAACACACACAATGACTAGAAATATATCGACAGAGAAAAGACTTAATTTAGCTTTGAGAAACCGTCCCAAAAATAAAATCCTGTATTAACAAGTGCAAAAAACAAACAAAAAAGAAACTCCAAACATTAAAACACAGTGTATAAAATGGTGTGAGAAATTTAAGTCACCATACAGCCTTTTAGTCAATAAAAAGCTGTGTTCATGTGTCCTTGGTGTTTGGGTAGTGGCCCATTCTTTTCATTTTACCCAAAAGGTCATTGAAGAAGAGATCTGAGGGTAAAGCACTCAGTCCTTGCTATTTTTTACTGTAGTCATTTGGGCCTGTTGTGTTTCTATCATATAAGCTGAATCCTTTCTCTTATTCCTCATTGGTTGAATTATCTTCCAAAGTTGTTATGCCTCCAAAGTCCAGTCCTGTTGAGTTCTGTGCTGCTGAGACTGTAAGTACTGTATGTAAGAGAATTAGTACAAGAACACACAGTTTAAGTCTGCTATTACACAGTCTTGATGCTGATGAAACTGTGAGTGATGTCCTGTGACACATTGTTGAGCCACTTGTTTTTATAGTCCCTTTGGATTGATGATCTGATAATAGTCCCCATCTGACATCACAGCATTCTGGTTCTGCATTGGTTGGATAGTTTTCATAGAGCCCTGTAGGGTAAACACAAGAAAAAATAAACATCAGGCAGAAAAATATCGACAGAAGTTGGTAGGTCAAAAGAACAGTTGATAGTTTCCTGTAAGCTATCAAATCCACATCTGTCGGTTAGCCTGAGGCCCTCAGAATGCTTACATTTTGTATAATTAGAGTTGTTGAAGGGACATGTGTTGTCTAACAGGAAGCAGCATCAGAAGATCATTCAACAGAAGTAAGACACCGAGAACAGAAGTGTATAGAAAAGGTGTTAAAAAGTAATTACTGATGCTTGAATATTTGGGATATTTGAATTCTTCCTTTTGGGAAGTAACAACTAATCAAAGTGGACATTTCCACAAAATTTGAAAAAAACTTGAAATTCTTCCTTAGTCTGCGAGTGTGTACCAGTAATATCACTGTCCATGAAAAGATAGGTATTAAATAACAAAGAACAGATATACTGACAATATTGACAATATTGATTGTCAGACCAATACAGATCCAATAGCTTCAAAAGAACAACTTCTGAACAGAGCTGTTCAGGGTCCACTTGTTTACCCTACCTCAGATGAGGTCCTCCAGCTGGGATATTCTCTTTGGCATATTCCAGAGGTGACAACAATCTTTCTGTGTCATGCACTAATTGGATCTCTTGATACTTCTAACTATACATCTAGGTTATTTCTGCCTTCAGAACTTTACTGAGTTATTCAGCCTGATCTGATTATGAATTTTTGAACAGTTAGAGGAATTCTTTCTTTTCAAAAAGACACAATTGTCTTTTTCGAAATTGTCAATATTGTCTACACTACTATATAAAAGACTAACGTAACCGGAGTGTTTTGTTTACTTCTCATGTATGTTCTTTTCTGATAAATTAAAATAATATAATTTAGCCTCTTTAGCTAAAGGCCAAATGCAAGAAATTCTAACGTAATAGACAAGCACCCTTTCTCCATTTAAACCGATCTTGGAATAAATTTTGCAATGAGTAATTACTCCATGGTACTGCTACATTTTATTAGGAGAAAACCTATCTGTGTTGAAATGTTAGGATGAAGATTTTGGATGCAGCTACATAATTGTTACAATTTATAAACTATCTTTCCTTCTTGGAATTACAGAATCATAAAATCATAGAATAATATGGGTTGGAAGGGACCTTTCAAAGTCATTCATTCCAACCCCCATGCAATGATCAGGGACATCTTCAACTCAGTCATGTTGCTCAGAGCCCCATCCAGCCTGACTTTGAATGTTTCCAGGAATGGGGCATCTGCCATCCCTCTGGGCAACCTGTTCTAGTGTCTCACCACCCTCATTGTAAAAAATTTCCTCCTTATATATAATCTAAATCTACCCTTTTCCAGTTTAAAATCATTACCCTTTGTCCTATTGCAACAGGCCTTGCTAAAAGTTCTGTCCTTATCTTTCTTATAAGCCCCCGTTAAGTACTGGAAGGCCGCAATAAGGTCTCCCTGGAGCCTTCTCTTCTCCAGGCTGAACAATCCCAACCCTCTCAGCCTTTCCCCACGGGAGACTTGTTACATCCCTTGGATCATTTTTGTGGCCCTCCTCTGGACCCGCTCCAACAGGTCCATGTCTTTCCTGTGCTGAGGGCTCCAGGCCAGGTGGGGTCTCATCAGAGTGGAGCAGAGGGGCAGAATCGCCTCCCTCAGTATGCTGGCCATGCTGCTTTTGATGCAGCCCAGGATACACATTGTTGGCTTATGTCCAGCTTTTCATCCACCAGTACCCCCAAGTCCTTCTCGGTAGGGCTGCTCTCATTCCCTTCATTCCACAGCCTGTACTGATAGCGGGGATTGCCCCAATCCAGGTACAGGACCCTGCACCTGACCTTGTTGAACATCATGAGGTTCACACAGGCCCAGTTCTTGAGCTTCATCTGAGGTTCACACAGGCCCACTTCTTGAGCGTGTCCAGGTCCCTCTGGAAGGCTTGCCTTCCCTCAGGTGTATCAACAGTACCACTTGACTTGGTGTCACCTGCAAATTTGCTGAGGGTGCACTTGATCTCGCTGTCTAAGACATTGATGAAAATGTTATACAGCACCTGTCCCAATATGGACCCCTGAGGGACACCATCTGTCACCGATCTCCATCTGGACACTGAGTCGTTGACCACTACCCTCTCGATACGACCATCCAACCAATTCCTCTTCCACTGAACAGTCCACCCACCAAATCCCTATCTCTTCAATTTAGAGAGAAGAATGTTGTGGGAGTCCATGTCAAAGGCCTTACAGAAGTCCAGATATATGATCTCCATAGGTCTTCTCTTGTCCACTGTAGTCATTCTACCATAGCAGGCCACTAGGTTGGTCAGGCAGGACCTGCCCCTAGTGAAGCCAAGGAACAAGAATTACATCTTGTCTAAAATATCACAGCAATAATATTACTTTCAAAAAGCAATGCCTGCAAATTTAGATGTGGCATTCTTAGATTCAGGCACCAGACTGCCTGTATCGTGAATAACCTGCAAAGAAAAGCAGCACACCTTACAATAAGATAAAACTGAACTCTTTCATTCCTACTTCCATAACATTGATCTCCAACTAAACAAAAAGTGTATTAGGTATGCCAAGAATGTTAAAATGCAGATTAAACCTAGACTGGCGGTTTTTTACATAGCTGACAAAACAGTCTACTCTGTTATACCTAAGTCTGAGTAAAGTTGCATCTATCTTTAGATTCAAACAGGCTTTTACAGACAAAGGAATGAGAACAGCTTGTTTGGTTTTCTGTAATGTCAGTGTTTGCTCTGTACAGAATGAGGCCGTTTTTACACCTATGCAGTCAGATACTTAAGGCAGCGTACCAATGCTTGAAAATTATTTATTCTCTCTCAGATCCTCACCAAATGTACTTCCTGTTTTTGAAAAAAATTTTATGGCATTTAGAAACTTGTGGACAGTTTATTGCAAATATAGTAAAGCAATCTTATTGTTAACATCATATTTTCTGAGACCCATCTTTTGATGTTGGTGTGCATAAGTGTATTTTTAAACATGGTAACATACAAAAAGTGCCTTCCTACAGCAGGTAATTATACGATCTGTTCTGCGACTGCTGTAGCTCAAACTGTTAGTGGTAATTGAAGAGACACAGAGAATGGTTAATGTTTTGATCCCACTGAGGTTTGTTCACTATTCAAACTGTATTTCCTGCCTTTCTGGTTATAGAGCAACCCAGACTTCCTTTGAAATCAAAGCCTATATGTAGAAGTTGGCAATCAAAATGTATTTAAATAGTTCATACGCACTTACTGAATTATAAATGAATTTAAGGCAACTCCACATTCAAAGCTGCACTGAACTTATTCCTTAATGCAAAATTACATTTCCTCTTTATTTCAATTTAACAATTGAATTTAGTTTTTGAATTTGCAGTTACATGTTTAATAACCCATTAAATACAGAACCACTCTTCATACGACAGTTGCAGAACATTTAGATAAATTCAGTCAGAGCTTTTGCACTGAAGTAATAAAACTTCACAATCATGCTTCACTACACACTCATTTGTAGCCATGAGTATCAGTTTTGGCCTCTTGGATCTAATCAATCAGTCTACTCAGAGGATTACAAACATGTGACTTACTAGAAACACTAGAAAGCTGGCTACATCGACCTTGGAAAACTATGAAGAAAAAATTCTATTTTGTTCTTTTAGAAAAGTATTTTATACGGACACAGAGTTTGGGGAAAGGAATAGAAAGGATACCTTTACCCACCAAACCACCAACTCATCCCACTTCTTCTTCTGTCTTTATAGTTCAGATTAGAGATATCATTCCTCTGTATTACTTGGATGTTCAATAATTGTATCATAGAATCACAGAATCATTTAGGTTGGAAAAGACCTCTAAGACCATCAAGTCCAACCATCAATCCATCACCACCATGCCTGCTAAACCATATGCTCAAGTGCCACATCTACACGCCTTCTGAACACCTCCAGGGATGGTGATCCCACCACTTACCTGGGCAGCCTGTTCCAATGCTTGACCACTCTTTCAGTAAAGAAATTTTTCCTAATATCCAACCTAAACCTCCCCTGACGCAACTTGAGGCCATTTCCTCTCGTCCTATCTCTAGCTGCTTTGGAGAAGAGACCAACACCTGCCTCACTACAACCTCCTTTGAGGTAGCTGTAGCGAGCGGTAAGGTCTCCCCTCAGTCTCCTCTTCTCCAAACTAAATCTCAGCTCCCTCAGCCTCTCCTCATATTTCTGAGACTAACTTACCAACTGCTACTGGCTCAAAACCTACTTTGCCTTTCACTTTTCACTTAAAATTCTCAGATCTGCATCTCCATTTCGCAAGTTTTCCCAGCGCTCACCTATATTTCACCAGCAGAAATCTTAGTCCATATGGAGGTTCTTGGACCTTGATCTTAGTCAAGGATCTAGAATTTTCCCGGATACTTCTTAGTATCAGACCATTCTTCAGACTGATACGCTATCACTCATGAAGGTTGTGTGAAAGCTATCTCTTTCCTTTGTAACTGAATGCATTTTCACATGCAGATATCATTTTAATTATCAGCAGAGCAGTTGTATCTGTAGGGAGTGTGTGTTATTAATGCTCATGCAGGAATTAAGGCTACTCATTTGACTGAGATTATGTTAATGGAGACATGACTGTAGATAAATCCCATGCCTCCTGCTCAGCTGAATCATACTGAAAGAAAACGGAGTGACAGCGTGGGCATTGTATTGACTTCTTGTGGAGAAACAGCTTTGGGAGAAAACCAGCAAACTGGAAATACGTTCTTATACAAGAATGAAAATCACAAACACTGTCTACAGATGCACAGCCTGCTGATCAGCTAGATCACCAGCTAACTCAGAGAATGCTGTGGTTTCTGTTTGAGTGCTTCTATTTCTTTTGCATAGAAAGCAGCATGCAAAAAAGGTGATTGCATTTCCACATCTCTCCCCAACACTGTCAGGATGTGTCATACTTGTAGCTGGATCTGTGTCAGGAGCAGTCG